TGCTTTAATTAAATACTGATTTACTGGTTCTTCCAAGAGCTCCATTCTCAAATCTAAAAATATTCAAAAATATCAACACTGATAAATCATTTTTTTTTAATACAGACATACATATGAATATGGGCGATTCCAATAGTTGAATTAGTTTGTCTACTTCTATAAGCAAATCAATAGTAACATCCATTGATGCACTGATATAATAATGGCTAAGGAAAATGTTAAACAAAATAAGCTGATAATACAATGATATAATTGGATGTCATGTGGTGCTGGTAAAATATAATTAATGTATAATTAATAATTATGTTTTACTAAAAAAGGATACAATGTCTGCAAGAGCTTGCAAACAAGAAAATAATTTTGAGTAAGTAAACATAGTGCTACTGCAGCCACTGGATTATGACACCATGTTCGAAACAAACACAAAAACATTTCTCGGTTTTCCTGAAATAAAAAAATAAATAAACAAAAAAACTATCACAATTACTAGATTTATATAAAGTAGTATATTGTGTTATTTTTAATACATTTTAAAACATAGAATACTTATGAAAAGTATAATCATTGAAGAAACAAATAAATTTATACTTTAATTTTATAGAGGAAATTACTTTTAAAGAAACTTTGAGCATTTAAACTTTTCTATTGATAGTTAATAATTATCATAATTCATACTATATAACAGTAGTCGCCAACCCATAGTCCATGGTAAAAATGTGGAGATCCACAGAAAAATTTGAACATTATTTGTAATGTTTTTTATATAATGGTAATATACAAAAGTGTTGTATAATGTGGCTGTATGTAGATTCAGATTATGACAAATCAGAATTAACAAGTAATAATATTGTCATTATTATCACATGTTATAAAATAGACATAATATCGTTATCACAATATTTTCTAAGAACACTAATGATTTATAAACAATCTCCATTTTAACTTAGTTTTTTTAGTAATCAATAAAATTATCAATTAAACTAACTTAAATAATTTTGTTATAAATAAAAAAACCCTTAATTGATGTTTTATAAAATATGCGTTAATGTTATTAATTTTTAATTTAGTATTTAAGATTTATGAGTATAAGTGGTCCGTGAAATTTAGAATCAAGGATTTAGTGGTCTATGAGATCCAAAAGGTTGGTGACCACTGCTATATAATATATTAAGTTTAAATTTATTTAAATAAAATAATGTTATTTACTTGTTTTTTGATATCTCGCAACTGAGTTCGCAGATCATAAAGTTCAGGAGATGTCAACAATATTGTATTCAGAGTTCCTATCATCACAGACGCAAATTTCATATTCTTCTCCTCCAACAGGAATGTAGATAATGTTCGGTAAATATCATTTGAATTTAATAAACTACATATTTGTCTAAAAAAAAAATTTTAAATAAGGATAGTAACAGTAATATTAAATAATACATTTAACAATGAACATTAGTTTGGTTTTACTTTTATATTTCCGTTCAATAAATATTATATCATAAACACAAACCTTATAATAAATTGTCCACGATCTTTTAATAACGTTCGATCACAGCTAAATTGTTTTAATAAACTTAAAATAAATTGATCAAAATATTGTTTATAATTTGTTTGAGCTGCTGATGGAGAAATTATTTTTGCAATAACTTTTAAATCATTTTGCACAACTTCTTCATTTGGATATGATAATGTTGTTAACAATAAAGGAAATATTGATTCCATATACATAAGTATCTGTTTGAATAAATTAATTAATGTATTACAAAATTGTATAATTTAATTGTTTATTTGTAACCTAGTAGCTTACCTACTTACTCTATTTGGTAAATGAATAAATAAATGATAAATCCATTTTAATACTGTTATTTTAGTTTCAATTGTAGATCCTCCTAATTCTTTAATAAGTACAGTAATAACTGATGCAAGATCTAGATTTTTCCCCTAAATTTCAATAGTTGATTAATACATTTTTTTTATTGTTTTTATATATTTTTGAACTAATTACTTCCTCATCTTTTTCTGTGGCATCAGTTTTATCTTCTATACCATTAATTAGCTCCATCAATGTTGAATTAACTAATTTTGCTGTTTGTTTAATACCTGGTAACACAAAAAAACCATGAATATAAGAATTAATTTTTGTATAAATTCCAAACCAATATATAGTAAAAGAATAATTTGAATTATTATTAAGAAAGTGTTATATCCGCATAATTTTTAAAATTATATTAATTATATATTATTAAATTTATAAGTAAAAAAAACAATCTAGAGCATAGCATAAATTTTTTTTAAAACTTAAAATTATTTATAAGGTTTTTATTAAAATAACCAGTGATGTAAATTTGTAAAATAAAAATGCATAGTATTATATTATACACACTGTAAAAAATTATTTTATAAAATGGCACTTCATTTGTACAGTAAAATTTAAATATTTTTTATTTATGTACAGAACTTTAACTGTCTGAACTACAAAAGTAAGAATGTAAAAGTATTTTGCTTTATGTTTATTAATTATTTCATAATTTATTACTTTTAATTTTAGATTTTATGAATAAAATTCAATTTGCAAACAGGAAATGGTAATCAAGTCCAAGTTTTGAATGGAACTTAAAATTTGCATATTTTTAATAATAAATTTTTATATCATTTATTACAAAAATAAAATAATACTGTATTTTATACCACTAAAGTTACCTAATAAATTTTATCTATTTTAATTTTTTGATATATAATAATAATTAATAACTTATTATTTTCAACATAACAATAATTACGTATTTGAGATTCAATATCTTGATTTGAATTTGAAGCCATTGAAGCTTTTAAAATATTAGATGCAAATGGTAAAATATTTGAACCATACATGTCAATAAATTCTTTTATCCAAGACATTGCTGTATACTGAAAATAGAAACAACCAATTATTCAATTATATGAAATAGATAGAAATAATTGAGAAAAATTATATTTGTATTTACTTGAACAAATTCATCAGTAGAATATGAATAAATAACAACAGTATTTATCATATCTGTATAGTTAACTTTTTCAGGATTACGATGTAAGTCATCTAAAAATTTTTTTAAAACAGCATCACACCTGTAATAATTATGTTTAATTTTATTTGAGAACATAAAGTAAATAATTTTACCTAATTGCTGCTATTAAAATGTAAACATCAAATACTTACTAAAGTTAACAATTTTAAAATATAATTTTAAAATGAACTGACATAAATAATAATAAATATTTATAGAATTTATTTAACTAGAATATATAAAATTTAGGTATATTACACACATAATATATCTTACATTTTTTTAATTTCAAATGTAGGATCAGAAAGCATTTTAAACAACCCATCCAAAATTTCTGGTAAATATATCACTAAGTCAATTGAAGGGACATCATCTAAGACAGTAATCCATGAAATTATGAATTGCTTTGCAAAAGTATTTTCTGTATATATGCGCTCTCGAAGCAATGGTATAAAGCCAACAAGATCAAAAATGTTTGAATTGTCTGTAACAATATCCTTTAAAAATAATAAAATATATATAATGTATAAATAGCATTTTCACAAGTATAAATTTATATAATACACATACCTTCATTAAACGATCTAAAAGCTCAGAAGCATTTTTAACGTTTTGATCAGGATCAGTGGACAATTTACTTAAAGATTTAAAAATGTCAGGAAAATGTTTTAAAACTGCACTGCGAGCCACTTTAGACACATTATATAGTGATTCACTGGCATAATATCGAACTTTTAAGTCAGCATCATTCAAATTTACCAATATTGGTATAATTAAATCATCAATATAATTTACAGAATCCTAAGATTTAAATAACGATAAAAATTACTAAATAGCATATATTATAATAAAAAAAAAAAACTTTGTATACTTTTCCCAGTCCAACGGCCATAGCAGCAAGTCCAATAAGTCCTCCTTTTTTAGTATTAGCATTTTTTGACATTGAAAAATCTTGTCCCAACACTTTTAACAACCGTCGTATTTGCATGGAATTGTTAACAGCTGCAAATTCTTTAACCATCCTAAGACAACAAAATAATTTAATAAAATAATAAAATAATTTATAAACACTTACTTTTCAATTTCCAGGGCTGCTGCTTTTCTCTTATCATACATTTTGTCATTCAACGCCCGAACACACGCAGCACTAAGAGGTGCATAATCACGGTCCATACTCATTGTTAAAATCTATTAATTAATGTGGAAATAGAAATTCTCAACCTTAATAGAAGTTACAGTATTAAAAAAACTTGTTAGTATTAAAATGAGATTAAAACTATCTAGAGAGTAGAGAACATTTCAAAGGTAACCAGTTACCAATAAATTTAATTTGATTTTAGCTAAACTGAAATGTGAAGAGTAATTTAAGTCAGTAAATTATATGTGTAAATAACACACTGCGTATATATATAGGTGTAGGTGTGGGTGTGGGTGTGTGTATAAATAAAATAAAAACAATTCTTTACATAAATAATTATATAATATTAAAATTAAAAACAATAAAATTCAGCCTGCAGTCTGTAATAATGTTATTATTATTGTTGTAAATTGCAATACAACATTAATCAAAAATTATCAAAAACGAATTGATAAAAATGATCAACACAATCAAAAATAATAATGCACACGTACGCCAAGACGATAAAGAAAATATTAAACAGTCTTAGATTATATTATCATATCACAGAACAGCAGATATTATAGATAATAATTATCATTAATCGTAGGGACACACATTGACACATGTGACATTTTGTACGCCCAGTATGTTTTCATTTCAACCTTCAATGGCTCAATGCCAAAGCGTATTTCAAATTCAGTCCAAAATTAAAAAAAATTTTAAAAAAATTATTATTATTTTAAAAATTAAAAATTATCAATACCTACTTAAATTGTCTTACATAATTTAAATTATAATTTGTATATTGTATCAAACAACTGTATTTAAACTATACAAGTGATCTATTTTTTATTTGCATATTTATCACAAGTATTTAAACATCCCAGTAGTGGTATATTTAATATTTTTTCCAATTTACTAATAATATATTTGTCATTTTGAATAGGTTTCAGATCATTACGTATTTTTTTCAACTCCTTGAACAAACAATCAAACCGTTGGTCCTAAGTATAAATATATAATATAAAATAACAATATAAAATGTAATACAAACATTTTATCATATTATTATACTCAAACTCGAGTCTCAAAACGACTATACATTCTACAACCAACATTCAATAATCATAAATAAATAAATTTAAATAAACATTTACCAAATCATTTTTGCCAGGAAACTCAACCTTGCCATTATTTACAGCATATGGCCACTATATAGACAAGTACAAAAACATAAACATGTATTATTAACTATGTATTTGTATTAAAAATATACTATATATACGTATAGGTACATATTATTAGTATTGTAGTAATAATGCACCTGTTAATCGCATAAGTACATAATTTATAAACAATTAATTAGGTATTATAATAGTTAAATACCTACATAAACATTTAACAGTAAATTTAAACATCACATAGAGACCTAATTCATTATTCACATAATTGTATTGTTAATAGTGATACCGACGCGTGATAGAAAATTTAAAATCCAATAAAAATAATAAATTTATATTACAATAAATTATGCGACTGTGTTAATAATATATTAGTATTATTATGATACACATTACGACTTGATAATTTATTATGATTGTGTTATATTTATTTTAAACTAATAATAACAAGACGTAAAAATATTTTATTGATTCTAGTGTATATTTAGTATTTTTGTATAAATTAAGGTAATAATATTAATTATATAAAACAAAAGTCATAAGTTGTTTATTACAAATTTTATAATATTCAATATAAAATTAATAAAATTTTAAAATATAAATACATAACTTACAGAAATATATTGTTCCATTAATAGATTTGTTCTAATCTATAACAGATAATAGGTACATTTAAAAAAAACTCAATTATATGCGAGATTATATATTACAAATAAGATATACAATATTTGTATTTTAAATCAAAACATACAGTTTTTTTAAGTTCGGATTGCAGTTGATGATTCATTTTTAACATACACTCTACTCGTTTCCTAAAAATCTCCACTTGTTGCTTTATATTTTCAGTTTCATTTTTTTTTATTTTCTCTGAGATGGATTCTTTAGTATTCAAATGGTCGTTGCTATAAATAGTTCGTAAATTATATATTATAAAATTAAATGATATGGAAATTTATTATCATGAACGACATGAATGCCAAACATTTTGAATAATATGAGTTCGGAAAACACAAATAAAATTAATAAATTAAAACTAAGTAATAAATAACATAGGTACTAAAAATCAATTGATTCGAGGATAATTATATTGTATTATGTTTTAAAATATTTAAACACTAATAATAAATAAACAATGTAAATTAAAATTACCTATATTCATTAATAAAACTACAATTTATTCAAGTATAAATGTAATAAATAAATAATAATTATTATTATTAGGTATATAATTCAATTTAATACAAACACAGAATATAATTGATATTTCATACTGCATCTGCAACAACTGTTGTTTACATCAATAAATCCATCTGTAGAGCAATCATTCAACAGCGACGTGCAGTCCTAAGTTTAGTAAAATACTATGTAGGTAATTGATATACACAAATTTAAAAAAATATGATTTTATTGTTATTCGCATTGTGTTTATATAACAGTATATAACAGTTAGTAGTTACAATATAATATAAATATATACATTACACACATTATATTATATGCAAGGACACAAAGTGCTTACAGAAGTCAATAAAACAGTCTATACTGTATATATATATGTAGTTTCAACTTTCAAGATCTCACTTTTCAACATATTTAAGGATTCATTAATAACCGATTTTTTTAAATTTATATTTTATTTCTTGTATATCTTTTTATTTATGGAGGCTAATAGAGGATTATTTACTATATATACTAGCGATGTATGACGAAGATTAATCATTTTTCATTGTATATATTATATTTTATAAAAAATCTATACACGACACGCCTCATATCCTACATAATATTATATGTATATAATATAAGGTATAACATCTGCGCATTGCGAAAAAAATATTTTCTGTCGTTCAGTTTTTCGAGACTAAATCTTTGTCTTAAATTCCTACATACATAGACAATTTTTAATTAAAAAAGACCATATACATTTTTAAATAATTTGATTATTTTATCTAATTCATTATGTGGTGATAGGTACCTACTAATAATTTTTTTTTTGTTAAGTATAAATAATATTTTTTTTAAACTTTAATGTACCGTCAAATCATCTAAATTGATATTTGAATGAATATAGATTTCGATTTATTTAACTTTATGTATTATATAATAGCCCATATTATATATAAATTTAAAACATATCATTTGAACATTTTGAATATTACAGTAGGTACCTAGTTAGTATTAATCAAATGACATATTTTATAGATTGTAAACATTTTCTGAATATAATTAATACCTACTACAGACTAAAATATATTGAATATATTGTATGTATAAAATATTATAAATATACTTTATTGTCTTTATTGTATTGTATGCAAGACCAATATTCAGGAATCCTAAGTATAAGTTCATAATGTTAAATATCTAACTCAGAAATTATTCGTTTGAGTTATTAAATTTAAATGTATTTAGCTCATCAACATTTACAAAAAAAAAAAAAAACATCTGCTTAACAATTTTTATAAAAAAAAAATAAAATCGTATTGCCTGAAAACTGAAATAGTATACAAAATCTAAATATTTATCTGTAATAAAAAAATGTTTAAAAAAAAAAAATAGAATTTTAATAAATAAATTATCGAATGATAAAAATAGGTTGGTTTAGCAATGAATATGCTTGGTGAATCACTCTATTTTGTAGAGCAAAAGGGTGTTAATGACGTTGTCGTGTATCATAATTTTGAGCATTACACTGATTTAAAGGTTTAATCATATAATGTTATTTGTTGGAAAAATATGATTTATACGACTATTCATATCAATATTATAATAGTTAGATTATATATTAATATATAAATATAAATATAATAATATACGATTGAATCATGGTCGGTAGTCGAGAGCTGATGACAGGTATCATTCCACGCTGAACCGAAATACTTCGTTCTTGACGATTTTCCTCCACTGGTAAGGTACTGCTCACATCCATTACAGTTATTTGTCATATTTTGTGTCGTTCGTGTCAGTGTTTGTGGCAATTTATTATTGCAGTTGTCAAAAGATGCTTCCAACCGATCCAATATGAGCGTAGACATTAGATCCTTCCATTTCACATTATCCTGAGTGCTGTTTAACCATTTGCCTTCGTCTCGATTTTGCTGCGTATAAATAAAAACTTCGGTGGTATTCGTTGTATAAATATATAATATATATTATATAAATTTTATATACGTGGTATATTATGGAAATATAAAAGTTTTGCATTAAAATTACCTATAAATGTGTCAAATAATTTTGAAACACTCTGTGTCTCTGTATATAACCATACAGGGCATAAATTAGGATTTAAGAATACCTAATAATTTAAGTGTTTCAACAAACGTTCAAATATATAAGAATAAGATAGAATGTCAGATGTCAGATGTTAGTATTTAACTCTGTATATAATATTTATCATTATAATATATACCAACTAAAATGCATCGTAACTACTCGACTATACAATTATAGAGAATTTGATAATTGATATTAATTTAGTCGCAAGTTGAAGAGGATACCTAATGATAATAAACTTGGATAGTAAAACGATATACGTAAACGCTGATTTAACGGATTGTACTCGAGACATGCCTGCCGAGACAAACAGGACGAATTTCAAAGGATCTTACCGGGTTTTCATCGGCCATAATATTATGTAATATTCTACGAGTTATTTCGTAAAATAATTCTGTTGTATAATTTGGTCTTAGTATTTATTTATGTTGAGGTGTAATTATTATTATTTGTTTTAGTGTACGTATATCATTTTATTCAAATGTTTGAAATAAAAGAAAAATTTAAAATAATATTTTGAATATTCACTATGCAATGCAATAGTTGATTTGTTTATTTAATAATAAATAAAATACGGGATTCCGTTGTCATATTAAATAATAGTAATATATTATTGATATTTTTCTCGTTCGAATAACCCGCCGATAAAGGTTGGTCACACTGCACAGTAGTGTAGTCGCGGCGTCTTCCTCTGACGGCTCACTGTGTTTGCATTCGATTTTTTTGCTCGTCTAATATTTTAATCTTCCCTTCTGGCTCTACCACTGCGCCAGCAGCTACTATTACTATATCGTGAAGCGTTATCCTCGGCTCACCTTCCGCATAGATATTAGTATTAAATTCCTGTCTTCGACTAGTAGAGTTGTAGACGGTAATCGGTGCATTGTTGCCGAACGACAGAACTGTGTCATATCATAAATTTTAATGATTATTAAGTACAATTTTCTGCATCTTTGAACACTTTTTCACCGGAAATAAAGATTGTAACGTTTGCTCGCTGAACAAGCTCACCAGCCATTGAGATTGATGTCTCGTTCGTTTTACGTATCCTTATAAATGTAAGTAACAAAATTAAACTATAACAATAATATCATATAGTATACTAAACTTGTAGTTTTGTAGCTTTTAAGTAGTATTCCTGTTTTTTTTTTTTATTTCATAGTAAGCAAGAATTATTTTTTATTTCGATTATTTCTTCGATTAGTTATAAATATCAGATCTATAATATATTTCTACATTATCTGGCTTGATTTTTTTTTTTGTATAGTAGTAATAGTAGTAATAGTATTGGAGTTACTTAGTATTTTTGGGTTATTCAATCGTGGGTTGGCAATATCTAGTCCAAGATGAGGGTCCTGTATAAAGTTAGGGCGCACATATCCATTTTTAATTAATAGGAATAGGACTTTTGTAAGTTACAAGAAGAAACCAGTTATGTTTTTGTTTTTGTGCTAGCTTGTTGTGTAGAAAATATGCAGAACCAAGAGCATTTGCTACAAGAGATTGAAGGCATCGATGATTACTGGGGCCCAACATTTCGAGCCATATACGATCAAGATGATGACAGCCGCAAATTTATTGACACTTTGGACAATCGCATCAAGCAGTACGACAAAGAAATTGAACGTATGTGCAATTTCTATTATCAAGGGTTCATAGATTCCATTAGAGAATTGCAGCAAGTGGAAAATCAAGCATCTAAATTAAAAAAACAAGTTGTTCAACTTAATTCAAATGTACAAACTATTGTCGCTGAAGTCACAACTGCTGGTGAAGAGTTGGTTAAAGCTAGACAAGTAGAAAATAATATTCAAATGGCTATCAATAGCTTGTCTTTATGTTTGCCTGCACTTTCTTCTTACAGTAAATTACAAAAGCAAATGGCTGATAAACGATATTATCCTGCATTGAAAACACTGGAACAACTTGAACAATTATATTTGCCACAAGTATCTCATTATAAATTTTTTAGACAAATGATTGAAAAAATTCCTAAGCTTAGAGAAAATATCAAAGAGTCATCCATGTCAGATTTAAATTGTTTTTTAGAAACCATAAGAAAATTTTCTTCCAAAGTTGGTGAAGCTGCAATGAAACATAGTGTTGAACAACAAAATTTTGATTTTGGCTTAACTAAATTAAAGAAGAAAAAAGATTCACCAGAAGATAATTCTGATGATGAAGATTCATTGAGTGCACAAGATCTTATTGATTTTTCACCTGTATATCGTTGTCTTCATATTTGTACTGTATTGTCATCACGAGATACCTTTGATGCTTATTATAGACAACAAAGAAGAGAACAAGCACTTTTAACTCTGCATCCTCCTAACAACATGCACGAATCTATTGCAAGCTATTGTTATTATTTACAATGCATTGTAGGATTTTTTGTTGTAGAAGATCATGTTTTAAACACTGGTAATGGATTGTTGACAAGACCTTATTTGGAAGATTTGTGGAAAATGGCCTCTGATAAGATAGTAAGCATAATGAGAACAAATACTGCGTACTGTACTGATGCAAATTTACTCTTAAAAATTAAAGATTTAATTATGGTATTTTGCTTAACTCTTAGAAGTTATGGATATCCTGTTAAGAATTATATGGAATTATTACATGAAATACAAGAACATTACAATGAAATACTTATGCAAAAATGGGTTCAAGTGTTTAGGGATATTTTATACAGAGAAACTTTTTGTCATCTAGAGGTTGACAATCAAGAACAATATGATAATGTTGTACGAACTTTTCCATATCAAGATGATCAATTAGAATCTTCTACTTTTCCTAGAAAATTTCCATTTTCTTCAATGGTGCCTAGTGTTTATGACCAAGTAAAACAGTTTATATTTGCTTGTCTTAAGTTTTCAAATGACCTAAATTTTAGTGAAGGTGAAGTAGATGAAATGGTTCAAAAATCTACCAAATTACTATTATCTCGAACATTTAGTGGATGCTTATCTTCTGCATTTCATCAACCACGACTTGGGCTTTTACAAGTAATACAAATTATTGTTGACACTGGATATTTAGAAAAATCATCAAAATCAATTCAACAATTTGTATCTGAAGCAACTGGATCTACTGGTGGCACTGTTGGTGATGATGCAGGCATAACATTGGGTGCAGCCAGAAATGATGCTGAACATCACATGTATGATAAGATGAAATTAAAATTGAATGAATTTTTAGATTTAGAAGACTATGATTGGATGTTAGTCGAACCAACTGGTCAAGCTTCTTCATTTGTTACTGATTTAATAAATTTCCTAAGAGTTGTTTTTAATGCATTAAGGAATCTTACTGAAGAAGTGTCTGTTCATGTATGTCAAGTAGCATTTGAACACATATCTAAATCTATATTAAATTTACTACTAAGTGATGATATTAAACAATTATCTATGGGTGCTTTAAATCAATTGAATCTTGATGTTATACAATGTGAATTGTTTGCTGCATCAGAACCTGTTGGAAAGACTGATGAACCAGATTTTTCTCAACATTTTGCACCGTTGAGACAACTATTGGACTTACTCCTTAGCTGGGACTGGTCGACATATTTTCATGATTATGGTCAAGAAACATCAAAATATTCTCATGTTAAACCAACTACAGCCATTATTGTTTTAGAAAAATTAAAAGAAGCCGATAAAAAAAGTGTATTTTCAGTATTAAAGAAAAGTGAAAGAGATAAAAAGAAATTATTAGAAACTGTTTTAAAACAATTAAAGCAATTGGCAATAACCGTTCAACAATAGTGATTTACATTATATCTATGTATTAAAATACATTGTTTAAAAATTTAGCTATTAAACCAAATACGTATTAAATTAAACCCACCGCCTAATATAAGGGTTTATAATATATTTTAATTCTTCTAAATTATAAAAGATATTTATAATGTAAATCTACTTAGTTAAAATAATTTAATAATTAATATACCAATAAACATATTTTTAGAATATTTTTTTCTTTATTTTTATTTATTTAATTATAAATTGTTATTTTTTTAATTGTTAACTAAAATTTAAAAAAAAAAAATTTTATTTAATTTATAAAACTATATAGCCAGTTAGTTGTTTATTAAATACTATAATGAGTATAATGTAAGTTTATGAAGTATGTAGTCATTTTGAACTGAAATAATAGACATTTATTTATGAATTTTTGTTATTATTTTTTCAAAACTTAAATATTGATATTTATTTTTTAAAATTCCATTTTTTCACCATTTTTATGGTTATATATTCATGACATTTATAAATAATAGATAAGATAATACTAATAAAAGTTATTATTTACTATTTAATAAACCATTTTGATGTTTTTTACAATTTATACTTTGATTTAATATTTTATAAATACTAAATTTTATTTTTTATTAAAAATTCCCTTTTATAAACTCAAAACTACCTAGACAATAAAAAAAAGGTTTATTATCTTAGTATAAAAAATAAAATAAAATAAATTAGATAATAATAAAATGGAAAGTATATTTGTATACTGTTAAAACTTAAAATAGTTTAGTTTTTTCCACATTATAATTTTGTTAAAGGTTATGATGTCAAGTAACGAAGACTATATTACATTGGATGAAATAAACAATGCACTGGAGTTACTGGACAAAGATGAAATTGCTTCAAAAAAACGTTTGGAAACGTTTACTAATCAATGGCCCACTGTTATTAAAGAAATTGACTTTGTTACTAAAAAATTTAGTTCCTTAACATCAATCAAAGAAAACTTATCTCAAATTCAAAGTAGGATTCACGACTCTTCTAAATTAGCCGAAGACATATCGTCCAAAGTCCGACAGTTGGACAAAATACGTGGACGTGTATCAGAATGCCAAAAACGAGTTCAAGACTTATTAGACCTACAGCTGTGTAGCGAAGGTGTACAGATTGCAATGAAAAATGATGAATTAGAACAAGCCGCCGGACATATACATCGTTATCTGTCAATCGACCAAACAAAATTACAGCGCACGGCAGACGATATGGCTCAAGATTGTTCAATGATCACTAGTGCTCTTAAACACTTGCAGGAAGCTTTAGAGCTCCTTCAGGACACCGTGTCTAAAAGATTTGAGCACGCGTCTTCAATCCAAGACACGAATTCTATAGAAAGGTATTTTAAAATATTCCCACTACTTGGAATGCACGATGTGGGTTTGGAAAAGTTTGTCGATTACTTGGGGCGGTTATTAAAAGTGTCGGCGGACAAAAATTTAAAAAATGTCATAGACACACCAATGTCGAGCAACCGTGCCAGTGTTATTTTCGCGGACGGGCTGACGTATATTTTCGAGGAAGTAGCCAAGACGATCGAGGTTCATCAGCCGTTAATCGAAACCCATTACGGTCCCGAGTACGTATTGAAGTTCCTATCCCATTTGCAAATGCACTGCGACACGTTCGGTGACATCCTGCTGCGGACATTTCTCAATACGCGCAAGATCAAAGAACTGCTGAAGACCATGTGGGATGAACCGGACGTAAACACCGCGGGGAGGCCCGACTCCAAGGACATCGATCTGCTGGTCGAGGAGATCGTCATGATCCTGGCGCGGTACGATCTGTACTCGCAGTTCGTGTGCAAGCGGACGGTGAACGCGGACGGCGTGGAACCGAAAACTCGAACCGCCAAAGCGGTGCTGGACAACAGCCGGCTGTGCTGTTGCATACAGGAGATGATGGGCAAGTACCTGGAGCTGGAGAGGTACTACATGGAGGAGAGCATCAGGAAGGCGGTGTTGATGGATACGATCGAGGGCGACGGCGGGGACGCCGCGCTCACGTCCAGCATGGTGGATGACGTGTTCTTCATCGTGCGCAAGTGCGTGATGCGCTCGCTGCGATCCGGCAGCCTGGACGTGCTGTGCGCCGTCATCAATAACGCGGTAAACGCGCTAGAAACGGAACTGTGCGCAGTATTCGCGCAGGTGCTGAGCGCCGGTTACCCGGGGTCCGGTTACTTCAACCGGTTCACGCCCGACCTGGACAAGGTGCGGCGTACGTTCCTGGCGGCGTTGAACAGCACCGAGGTGGCAGTCGAGTACTCCAAGTCGCTGTCGCAAGCGTTCCGGGACGAGGTGCCGGCCAGGCTGCGCGGCTGCCACGCGGAGAAGCTGGACAGCTGTCTGCACGACTTCAGCCGAGTGAACGCGTCGCTGGTGGCCGCCAACCGCAACGGGTTCAGGCAGCTGCAGTGTTCGCTGGTCGAGCCCAAAACGCTGGCGTGGATGGAACCGTTCTACGAACAGAATTTCACGCTCGACGAACCGGAATTCGCGCAGACAGTGGCCGACAACCCATTCGTGGTGGCGCTGGTGCGGAGCATCGACGGCACGCTGGCCGAGTTCCGCGCCCGGCTGACGCCCAACAACTACGACATGCTGGTGGTGGCCGTGGCCGCGGAGACGGCGGCGCAGCTGGAACGGGCCGTGATGAAGACCGAATTCAACCGGCTGGGTGGCATGGCGCTGGACAAGGTGGTCCGGACGCTCATCAACTATTTCAGCGCGGCCAGCGCGTGGCCGGTTCGCGAGAAGTTCGCCCGGCTGGTGCAGGTCACCACCGTGCTCAACCTGGAACGGGCGTCCGATCTAAACGAGTTCTCCAACCCGGACAGTGGCATGCGGTTCTCGTGGAAGTTGACGCCCGACTCCATACGGCAGATACTCAGGCTCCGGGCGGACTTCCGGGAAGAAGACATACGGAAAGTGCAACTGTAAGACCGTGCAGCACCCCATGACCGACAAGCTTGCAAGCGATCCCATCACTACTGTACGATTTCCAAGCGGCGTCATGTCGTCGTTTTAGCTGACGTGTTTTTTCTCAGACTTGTGAGTAATTAAAGTTAAAAAAATAATATACCTACACCTACGTTATATATTCAACGCCTACGGTACATAATATTATGTACTGACATACTTTGCAGTTATATTCAAGTTGAGTAGATACATTTATCACTACTATTTTATGTCTGTCGGTACTGTAACGCCGATTAGGTTTTTTTTTTTTTTTACCAAAATTTGTACAATTGGGTGTTAATCTAGTATTCCATGTATAAGAAATGTCATCGTATTATTATTGTATGAAATACTCGACGTGTTTTGTTGTAAGTGTACTAGTAATATTGTTATTGGACTTAAAATAAGCACTATTTATACCTACTTATTTTATGTTGTGTGTATTTCAAAATTACATTATCTACATTATTGTTAGAATTTTATTTTTCAATTTTTTTGTTATCGCACGTTTTGTTATGTTTCAATAATTACTTATTATCATGTGATTTATTTTTATTGATTTAAAAATAAAAATCAATACTTATATAGTATTTAACGATTGTAATTTATTTATCGATACAATCAATACTTTCCATTTCTTATTTTTTAATAAATATAAGTTATGTAGGTTTAAATTTCTAATAACGACTTATTTAGGCAGTAAAAATTAAAAACAAAAAGGTTTATAAAATTAAATTATTAGTATTTTTATCAGTTGAAAATAAAAATGATTTTAAAAAACCAATATCGTGAAAATTAGTATTTTAAAAACAATTTTCAATGTAAAATAAATTATTATTATCATGGTAAATACTGAAATATTATACTTTATGTTGAATTTAAATAATAAGACACTTATTTTCAGTGTGTCAATCAAAAAATCGATTATAAATTTACTTTATCTAAGCAAGTATAGCCAATATACGTATAAAACATAAAATGTATTGATGTACAGTCGAAAAATAACTAATAAAAAACAAGTGAGTATTTTAATTTTGAAAAGTAAATATTATTTTTTAATTAAAAATGTACAAACTTTAAATTTTGATTAAGACGAGTCATCACTTAAAAAAATTGTATGTTGTATTCAATAGATTTAAATAACTTATAAGAATTATTGCGATCCAATTAATAAGTTAGCAAAAAAAAATCACTTCTGGAATAAAAAAAAAATATACGTTTGTTCTTTGTTGTGTTTTTTTTTTTTTTACATAAACTACGTCTCACTTTGTCGCGTGCGTTTTATCTATTCGAATTCTCCCCAGAGAAATTTATTATTCAAAAGGTTCGGTCGTTGAACTAACAGCCCCTTCCGTTATTACTTTAAGCGAAATGCTTTTCAGTGATGTACAATTTTCCATTAGTTCATGCGTGCGTTGTCATGTGCAACCCTTTCCGCGTAAACGACTCTGCCGCCGCCCTAGTGTTCAGCTCATTTGACCGACAGCTACAAAATGCTGCATCCGCGTATGTGCTTACCTATTAGCCTACTCATAAAATAATAAAATATATTACACGTATTGCACTACAGTCGTTTTGTCGCCTCCGGGGGACAATGTCTAAATGTATGCAGTCTCTGCCAAAGAACAAATCGTTGTTGTAAGACATCATTATATTATACGCCTTTGAGCGTTCTCTTTTTTATCGTAAGCATCATATCTATTATATTATATAAATAATATATCTATATATTTGTGTGCATGGTACTCTGGTATATAATAATAACTAGGTTAAATCACAAGATAACGATTTTTACATCCGTTATTATTAGGTGTTATTATATTTTTTTATGTATTTATATTTGTTTATTATGTGTATTTGAGTTTATTTATTATTGTTATTTTTATTGTTTTCAATTTTTTTATTTAGCTATTTTTTTCTCGCATGACGCGTGTTTTTTATGTTTCATTTTGATTTGTATCGTTTTGCTGAAACTTTTAAATCCCATTATATCATATTGCATTATACATCGTATAAAATGATGACGAGAATATTATACTGGACGATGGACGGTGTGATGTATAACAGGTGGTATATCAGGTGTCTGCAGAACAGTGATGCAGCGGGGCCCAGCTCAATTGAGTTCCGTGTCAGACCTGTACGTTAGCGACGAAATATCGGTACTGCTTGAAGAAATCCACGACTTGGAACCGAAGGGCAACATCGCTCCCATCGACGACGAACAAGAGTTCGAGATCAACGGCAGTCAGACGGGAGGCTCTTGGCTGGAAGTCACCAACAGTATGGCAGGCACGCCGGGATCGTGGGATTCGCACGCCAATTATAAACATCAGGAGGCGTCCAGGGCCAGATATAACGGAGTAGTGTTGCACTACGACAAAAGACCAATGAAGACACCATCAGGCGTCATCCGAGTTCTGCTATTGGTGAGTATCGCCTTGTCCTGTCTTGGTAGAGAAGTCCGGGCTCATTTTTTTTACGACTAGAGAAAAAAAAAGTATGACATATTTCTCAAGTTGGTCAACACTTACAAAAATACAAATTATTCAATTCACAAAATTAAATTTACTAAAACACTTATTTAATTTTTTCCTACACATTATTTCTTACCAGCGTTGTTTTCCCTATACATAAAATATTATTGTTCTATAAAAACAATTTGTATTAGTAAAGTTTACCGATAGTAAAAAAAAAAAAAAAATGAGTTCAAACTTTTCGCCAGGGAATCGTTTAACATATTGATCATTTTAATTGTGACATGTCTTTTTCCAGGTCACCTGTGTTTTGTGCATGTTTTGCCTATGTTTTGCCGGCACTTCCAGGTTGGCATTGTTCATGTTGCCAATGCTTAATCGAATACGGTTCATACTGTTTGTCACATTGTTCAATTTTCTAGTCACCGGAGCTATACTATTTTTGGATGTCACACACACTGTGTACTTATTTCCGTTCAACTGGGGAAAATTGGTAAGTACTATGCTAAGAGCATGGTCATATACCAGTAGCTTTAACAATATTGTGTTTGTGACTTCAACTAAATGTTTGTTTATTGTATTCCACTAGAATGTTTTGTTCTATGTTATGATGACCATATTGTGCCTCACGAGCTCCTCGTTGGTTCTTCATCAAGTATATTCATTTCACGAGTTTTACACATGGGTACCACGCGCTACACGCCATCAATTGCTCGCTGCTGCAGTAAGTAACTTAAAATTGTACTATTGAAACCTAGTATATCATTTTATGTAATCTATTCACCCCTAACCAGGTTTTAGGTTATTTATGTGCACTGGAGACGTTGTTGCTGGCCTTGCTGAGTCGCTGTGATGGTTTGGGCGGTCTGCATTACCGCCAAGTTAAAGACGATATGACAAGTCCACCCAATACATTGGCTCTACGTCAAAGAGTCCCACCACCACCCACAGTAGTATATTCACCATCACCGTCTCCTTCATTTTGCTTACGATCCATCAATCCCAAGTCATAATCATTATTATACAAAATTGCACCTATTAAACAAATATTTCACTCAGAAACTTATAAAAGTTACGTCTAGAAATTACTGTACTTTCCATAAGTCTTAATATATATACGCAATATGTATTATGGTTTTGTTTGTGGAATTTAATTGCGACCAATTTAAAGTATTATTAAGTTCAAAAGACTCCCCAAAAATACTTCATATATTTTTGTACTGATAAAATGTCTTCAACTAGTTTTTTTTTAATATAAATGTATTTTCAAATTTTTACATTTTTTTAATTCACACGTATTTGTTTTTAATTATTATTAACAAATTTCTTGGGCTTATCAATCAGTAAATACTATTTGACTAAATTAATATTTTTTAGATAATTGGTTTTTATTAAACGTGTGTATTTTTACTTTCTATTTACTTTCCTTATATTCTCATTTTAAATATATTAATTTATATTGTTAAAGTATAAGTTTTTTTATTATTGGCCGTCCATTTCAAATAGATAATTGTGCGCTTTATATAGCTACTGAATTAAACTGTAGTGCTTTTCAACTTTTAAGGTTATTTTTATGTCTAAATAATTAAAAACAAAAAAGATTTCAATATTATTATTTACAATACATTCTCTAACAAAACTTTGCATTTAAACTTTGCTAGTCATGTATTTAAAAAATTTAATATCTTAGCTGAAAAAGTATGAACAAACTTATTTCTTTCTTAGTTATTTTTAAAACGGCTTAAATGTGTTAACAAGGTTATATAAGCATATTCATTATCTATTTTATCAAGTATTTTAATTGAACCCTAATGATCAAAATACCAAATTAAATTAAAGTCATCTTATTAAAATGGTTGATGAATGTAATTTAACAAAATTCAATGTACACTTGTTACTTACTAGAAACCAAAGTTCCCGAAATTTTGTCATATCATTGTATAGCTAAAATATTATGTGGTCTGAAACATACTAGTTAAAACAAATATAGGTTTTACTGTTCATATTTTAAGATACATTACACGTTTTTATTTTTATTATCACTTAATTATATAACTATTGACATAGCTGATACTTCATTGTTTTTAAATGTTTAACTAATTACTAATAGTGTGGTTTAATGATGTATAGGGACAAATGTTAGTTGGTGCTTACCCCGTCTTGTATATTATCAGTTCACTATTGTCACTTTACACTTTTGCTCAACAAATTTGTGGCAAGAGCATAGTATGTTTACTACGAATGTAACCCTGTATTACCATAATCGTTAATCTACAGTATTAGATTGTAAAGTACAAAATTATTTTAACACATTAGTTATATCACTAATATAATAGCCTTGTTTACAATGCATGTGACACAAATTGAAAAAAAGAAGTGTAATTTTAATAATAATAATTAATAGGACTATTTTATTTAGTTCAACATTTTTACAAAAAATGTATTTAACGGGTGTGCAATTTTTTATCATGATATTTATTGTAAACAATGCTCTCATTATATAATATATCTATATATTCATAATACAAATGGGATATTGAAAATGAACCCATCTGTTTATTATTTTTTGTCAAAATGTTTTATATAATAGTGTTTATAAGCTATTCATCTTTTTTTTTCAACTAATGCTATTCCAAAATTTGTAATTAATAAAATTTCTGTAACTGAATGTGATTGATTTTCATATTTTAAGTGACAGATTAATTTTTTTAGGTATACACTAGTGTTACCGTCCTTAGTATTAATTGTGTAATAATGAAAATATATTTATCAAAGTATTTTTATATGATGGTTACTATAAATAATATATTATTGAAGGTACAATCTAATAAATTGTCGTACACATAAGTGATGGTTGGTTGTGAAGGAAATAGTATTTTGAATGGGTATTAATAATATATTAATAATTAATTGATGCAGTTTATAAAAAAATATAACTTTCATCTGAATTTAAATTGTATTTAAGTTAAGTAGTTACATTCTTGACTTAAGTTATATTCCACATTAAACTTAATTATACAATAGTTCTCTTTATGTTGAAACTATGATTAATTTTAAGTTAAATTTTACATGTTAACCATTCTTTTTCAGACTTTGTTAATTTTGTAAATTATTTTATTTCCACATAATTAAGCATGATTGTATTTCATGGCAAAAATTTTTTTTTTCAAAATTCTTGCTATGATTTTTTTTGTACATTATTATCAACACTAAACATTTAAATAAGAACTCAGAAAAAATAAATATATATGTTTATTTTATTTACTAAAAAAAACATCACAAATTCTAATTATTATTTAATATAAAAATTGGTTTTTAATTTATACACTTTTAATAATTTAATTTAAATATTTATCATTTATATACAAATATATTATGATGTATACAATAGCTTTATTAGCTGCTTAAATTAACCAAATAAAAACAATATGTATGTATACACATTTGATATTTATTTTTATTACTCCTATCTATTTCGATTGGATTTAAATCTACTAACAGGCCTTGTATTTTCTTCTTGGTTATCAGTTTCATTATCCAGAGATACATCGGATACTCTTTCCACAATGTCATCTATTTCGGTAAGAATTATCTAAAATGGTAAAATGTACACAGTTTATGAAACAAACATTTAACTTGCTCAGTTAAGTTCATTATACAAAGTATTATATCATATTTTGTAAATAAAAAATAGTACCTATTAATAATGTTACACAAAGAGTGAACCAATCACCAAAGTTAAAGGTAAAAATATTATCTAGGTCATCACAGAGGCTTATATTGGTATTACAACTTTAAAGTGAGTTATAAGCAGGACTTGGAAATTATAATACTAAAAAGTAGATTTTTAGAACTTCAATATGCACTTATAATAACATCAAAAAAAGTGCAAAAAATATGTAGTACTAAAATTCAAAATAAAATTGCCAACAAATATTTATAACTCTGAAATATAAATGAGAAATTTGATAATTACAGCACTACGTGTTTGACAAAAATTAACCAAATTATTGGAAATTAACAGAATGAATTGTTATCACTTTATCAGTGATAACATCTGATAATGTGCCTATTTGAAAATCAAAATATATATTTTGTTAGCGTATTTGTAAACTGATTGGAGTTATTTTTTATTTCTTTTATTACATATATAAATAACACTTAACACTCTTCATAAGCTAATTAGCACTAGAAAGTAGAACTTGTGAAATGCATGAATTAACAAAATAAAAATTCTTATATATCAGGAATGTGTAGAACAAACGTATATCTTACTTTAGATATTATAAAAATTATAAAAAAAAAAATATGTATTTGTTAGAACTATCAAAACTTTCAAGTCCTAGCAATGAGAATTTTAAAATTGTAATATTTTATAAAAGTAATTATAACTTACTTTAAAACTTAAATAGAATATGCTACAAAATGCCTAAGATAATATTTATAATAACTACTCAAAATAATAAAAATCATTCATGCACGTATAACGTTCTCTAAATAATTGTGCATGTAAGAACTTGATTTATCACGCAGTGGTGTACATTATATATATATATTTTTTTTTTATTGTAAAACTATTTTAAGATTCTTTGAATAAATTGTATTATTTAAAATATTGAATAAGATAATGTAAAATATTATAATACACACTTCTGGTCTGATAGATTCATCAGTTATGGTTTCTTTTCTTCGGCGAATGAAATGTTCTTCAGGTCTTGGTACAAATTCTTTAATTTGAATATCATTATTAAATGATACTTGCTTTTTATTCTTTTTTTTTAAGACTCTGGTAGTTTCAGGTATATCATTTGTGAAAACAATTTCTAATTTACTATCTTCATCTTCATCGTCATCTTCATCATCAACGTCATCATCATTGTCGTCATCATCATCATCATCATCATCATCATCCATGTCATCATCATCGTCATCATCGTCATCCATATCAATACAATTTTCATTTGAAAGACAGCCACTAATGTCTTCTCTACAACAAGTTTTAATAAAATATTCATAAATACAAAAATTATTTAATTATTAATATAAAAAATGATTTAAGACAAACCCATTCATAATTGCATAATGTACTTTAGATGCAGTAAACAATGTTGGTCTTTCCAATGCTTTAAGTTTGTCATCAAATCCTACCGATTTGAATTCATTTAATATTTTTTGACGTTGCTCTAATTCCTGTTGGTGTTTTTCCTCAGCTAAACGTTTCTTATATTCTTTTACCTTCTGCCTATGTATTTCTGGTTTATAAATATATATATATACATAATTTAATACTGATATAACAATTTTATTTTTACAGACAAAACTATACCATTCCAGGCTGCCTCTTCTGCTTCATCATAGGGTTCATTTATTTCTACTAATTTTTCTGAAACATTAACAACTTCCTGTCTAGCACTAATATTGTCCATGAACAATTCTTTTTCTTTTCTTAAATTTTCAAGCATATCATTACACCCTAATAACATTATGAACTTAAATAAAAATTTTTTTTTTATATAAACCAAACATACTATTGATTTGCCTTTTGCAAGCACTTTTAGCATCATAAGCACTCTGTTTAGTAAAAATTTCATTGTATCTAATAAATACTTCATTAGTATTACATATTTGGGCACGTACAAATACTTTTGATCCAAGTGGCATCAATATTGGAACAGACAAATGTTTAGGAAATTCTTCCAAGCATGTATATAATTCTTCATATTCTTTTTTGAAATTTTTCCATTTTTGCTCTAATGAAAAATTTAATTCTAATGCCTAAACAAAAAATTATACAATTCATTAGTATGATTTTTATTTTTCTAAAATATTCCATTAATCATTATAAACATTAAAATATTATTAAATACATTATTTAGTCATTGAACTTTATTCATAAGATATAAAATAATAATAACTGCTTGAAATGAACCTTTGTATATAAATGCATTTTCCATTGACTTTTTTATGAGATGGCTACATAATAATATTATTAGAAGTGAAACAGTGCAAAGAATCTATTTAGAATACAAATTTATAGATATAGCTAGATAACATAATATTTTAAAATAAATATGGTTATTATAGTTTAATAAAAACATACCAATTAACATTCTACTTATACTTTTATTATAGACAATTATTAATTTGTTTACTAGTAAAATATGATAAAAACAATTATTAAGAAGTGTAAAATGATAGGTAGAAAATAATAAAATAAATTATTAAAAGTATTAATAATTTTTATAAAAATAACCTACTTCACAAAATTAATCAAATGTTTCAGTATAAATGTAAAATTAAACAAATTAAAAATTATCCTTAAAGTTATCTTGAAAATTTTTTTAAAACTAAACTTTATTTATATTTATTTTTATACCAATAAATGAAACCTAATATCAAATTAATATATGTTTCAATTCTAATATGATAAAATTTTATAATACTTATGTGGCTATGAATTGAGATTTTATTTTAAGTGTCATAAAAATATACCTATTACATAAAATTAAAACCCATGACTAAAATAAATAGTTGAATATCATCATTCATCATTATGAGACATTTTTTTATGGCTTCATTTAAAATGAACAATTTATAGTTGGATATAACCCAATTAAATTATCATAGGTAGAATCAAAATTAGTACCTATGTAAATAAATATATATATTTTCTTACTAATAACCTAATGATATAAAATTAAAATTTGATGTTTACTCAAAATAATAATTCAAAAAATTCAAACTCTAGTATGTACAATTAAATTCATTATACATGATAGTATAATAATAAACCATTAAGAAAATTGTATTTTACAATTAAAGAATAAAGACTGAGCTCATTGGAAAATAGTCAATATGTAATTATAATCTACAATAAAAACTGGCTAAGAATAACGACTACAATAACAATAAATCAACTAGCAATAACTGATCCAGACATGCAGTTATGTTATAAATTGTAATTACTGCATTATAAAAATATTATTATATTAGTGACATTACTAGGATTTTGTTTAAGAAGAGGGACATGATATTTTGCTAACTTATTTGATTACCTAATAAGTTTGGAATGTTATGTGTATAAAATTTACTGCAACCTTTATCAAAAATACAAATTTTAATACATAGTTAACCTGGTTAGATGTTATATTTTCAAAACATCTAAAAGAATTTTTAAATTTTCCCAAAATTTGCTATGTTACTGAATTCTATTTATAATTAACCCGAATCCGGTTGCCGAACTACTGCTCACCTGGGCGTTAAATTTTTGAACCAAAGGGACGCCCTGCAGCTGCTGCTCGGACGACGGCGATGTCATGGCGCAACGGTTTTCTGACGATAAAATCGTGTAGACGGTCTTAAGATCAGAGAACTGACGAACACGGTAGTGGTGATCAGAAGGTGACTCTGAGACTGCTGGTAGTGAACTAGCGAACGACTACACTTGTAGTTTGTACTAGTTGTACTCTGACACTCTGTAGTGCAGCTACTGCTCGTGAGATTAAACACAGCATACACGTGAGTCGTGAACGATAAGGCGAAGAGTCGTGTGAACACTGAACATTGATAAGTCGATAAGTGATAACGGCAAACGGTTGAACGCCTTGTGCGATGGCGCCAATCGTGATAGACCAGACGGTCGGAGGGAAGCGCATCGTATTTCTGACTTCGCAGTCCACCCGCTCCCGTTGGATTCCCGAGCACTGCGGTCTGCGACTACCACTACGATTTCATTACACCGTCCGGCCTAGTTCCGTGTCTACCGACTTATTGCACAGGTAATTTCAGCAATCGTTATTAATTTTCCATTTTTCGGTTTAAAATCACATTAATCACAATCCACAACACTCGACCAACTACGACGACAACAATAACATACAACAGCTGAACACTGAACAGCCATAGCGCATTAGCGCTGATCATTTCTGCGATAATAAATAATAAATAATAATATTATGTTTTGGCGGACCCCACTAATGATCATGGGAGGTGAGGATTACAACAGGTAGACGAGCGCGGGACCATTGAACCTACGCGGTTTCTGGTCAGTCGCACGATACGGCGACGTGTACCTCTTTGTCTGTGTATGTTGTTTACCGGCGCCGCTTCGCTTACACGTTTATATTGTTTATAACGATTTTCACTCGTTCCCAAAATCCTAAGCACGGATACTTAGCGTCCACTTGTCTTCCTGTACAGCAATTTCGCAGATTTGTCGTGTCCTCGTGTGTGTTAATCGTATTACGAATTTCTTTAATTACCACGAAATCGTACTCGATTAAACCGTGGTAGTACCTACCTTGGTGGTTTGGTAGACGTAGCGTCGTTGATTTATCGGTGCAGATAGTACACGTCCATGCGGAATGTTTTTTTTTTTTATATTCATTAATTTAGTGCTTTAACAGTTTCTTACGACCGCGTGGTTTTCAAGAGTACGTGCTTCATTCAGTTCTTTGTTTTTTGGTTAAATTGTCTTCTTTAATAGTTGTTTGTTTAATTTATAATTCTTTTTCACCGAGGATAGATACTTATAAACAATTAGCATTCGATATAATATTGATTCTTGAACGTTCCTATCTTATCCAGCTGTTCAAAGCCCTATTTGTGTTTGCAGAACTTATCTTGTACAGTTTTCTTCAAGTGTTTCCGTGTGATCATATTTAGGTATCTCGACGATAATGGTACGACAGAATTCGAGGTTATTAGTGGTTTGCGGCCCGTCTGGCTCAGGCAAGTCGACACTGCTTCGTAAACTGTTTGATGAGTACCCCGATAAGTTTGGTTTCTCAGTATCACACACCACCCGATCTCCAAGGCGTTTCGAAGTAGATGGCCAACACTATCATTTCACCACCAAGGACCAAATGCAAGCAGCTATCGATCGAGGAGACTTCCTTGAGCATGCTACCTTCTCCAACAACATGTATGGCACCAGGTAAGGCTGATTCCTTTCTTTATTTTTTAATGCATGCTCATTATCTATGTTTCATATTTTTATCTTGTGATGTTAGTCTTAAAGCAGTACAAAACGTTCAAAAGTCTGGCAAGATATGTGTTCTTGATATTGACATGCAAGGAGTCATTCAAATTAAAAAGATTGCTTCCCTGAAACCAATCAGTGTGTTTGTCAAACCTCCTAGTATTGGTGAACTCGAAATACGATTGCGTAGACGAAATTCAGAGTCTGAGGATAATTTACGAGCTAGATTGAATGTCGCACAACAAGAAATTAACTATGGTTAGTATATTTAAAGCGTTGATAAATAACTTTATATTTAACTCAACATAACTATCATACATTTTTCTAGGAGAAACACCTGGAAACTTTGATTGTATTATAGTAAATGAGTCTTTAGATAAAGCATACAATGCTTTCAAAGAATTTGTTTTAAAGTCCTTTGAAAATATAGAAAATTAAGTATACAGTTAAATAATACCTAAAGTATTCAGTATTCAAAACTCAGTCAGTAGATTTTAGTTATTATATTTGTAAAATGTTTTTGTACTTAAATATTATTATAAAAACATTCTAGAATAATGTTATACCTCCTTATGCTATAATTAATTTTTAAATATTAATAGTTTTTAAAATTATATTAAGTTATGTAAAATTAATTTAGTTAATAACTAGAGGACACACATGCATACGTCATACATATTGTATTAATTATTATGCAAATTTAAAAAAATATTAATAACTTCCATAGTTACAATACTATTAACAATACTATATTTTATTTTGAAATTTTTATAATTTTAGCAGTACAAAACTCCTCAAATAACTAATGTGATTATTTGTTACCTTTATTATTTTCTAAGAAAAAAATGTCAATAGTTCTTATGTTCTATATATATATATATTTATTTTAAAAAAAATTGACTGATATAATTCAGAGGAACTAATTACTAGAAGAGGCCATATATATGGTCAAAATTTTGTATTCTTTCATAAACAACTTATGGTCTCAATTTTGTACAATCAATAATAATTATTTTTATTATTCTTATTATTATTAATTACTGTCACTAGTATCGTATCCACATTTAATTAAATTGTTCCATTTTCTTTTTGTTTCCAATATTAAGTTCTTTTAATTTTCTAATATAGAATGAATCTGTTATTTCTTCTCTTACATATCATGATTTACATTCTACACAACATACATTTTCTGTTTAACTATTTTACATGTGTTTATGTTGTGCCAAATGAAATTTTTTTTATTAAATCAAACTAAATTGTTTTTGTATATTGAAATACAATAAAAAAAGAACAATGTATTTGAAAATTTTAAATGTTTCTAGTTAAAGTCAACAAGATTAATCATATTATCATAAAATAACATATAACAAATAATACAATTTTTTGTTTAAAATTTGTTGGTTATATCTGAATGTTTAAGAATGAGACTGGTATAATAAAATATTTTTTATACAGTGTGTGTTAATAGTATGATATCTTAATTAATTTGAAAAATACCTCCTTGAAATCCAATAAAATAATAAAATAGTAATTGCATTTATATTTATGGTTTCTTATGTGATTTCCAAAAGTAAAGTGCTTATCTAAAATTTATATTCTTATAGATAAACATACTGTTGGCTTCTTTTTTGTATGGTTACTTTATTGAATTTATATATATATATACGAGTTAATACATAAAATAGATATTATGTAGTTTACTACAATATAGTATTAAGATTTAATTTATAAAAAAATCTAGATATTAAATATTTTGTTAAAAAAGATAATATTACGAAAATTTACATAGTTGTTTTTGCATGTATTATTAATTATTTTTTATAGTAAACATTTTTATTTAATCAATATGAGCTTAAGATATTTTTCGTTTTAAAAGTAATATTGTGGATGACTATATACAATAAAAAACTAAAATGTCAAGAAAATAAATAATGTCTTCTGGTTATGTTTAATTGAACTATTTTAACTCTCATCATTATTTTTAAGTTGAAACCAAAAATCTAAAGTGAATGTTACATTTAGGTTATAGCCCAACAATTGTTTATACCACAATATATGTGTCTAATATTAAACATAGTGCATTATGGTTAATATTTAAAACCACGCTATTAATTATTTAAGTAGACTAGTATTAATTGTTATTGTCAATATACCTATATTTAATTTATTTTTTTACCTCAATTATATGTAGAATAATTTGTTCTAAGTTAGTCTAAAATATATATTTTATTGTTTATTGCTATTAAAAATACAATTTTTTGTTGTATATTTTAGTTGTTTATAATTTATATATACATTTAATATAAATCTTGTGCTAATCATGTTTTCATACAATATAAAATATATAAACTAGTTATTTTAATCAAATTCCCGAGAGTGGTATCCATTGGTTATTAGGTTTCTCTGTATAATAAGACAAATTATTATCAAATTAAAAAGACTGAAGAAATTGCTCTGCTATACTTATTAGTTATTAGTATATTTTGAGTGCATCTGATTGTGTAAGTCACTGTAGTAATTGATTTGTTAAAGTTGAATGTAATGGTAAATTATTGCATATAAAAAAAGATTTTAATTCAAGAACACGAATTAGTTCTTATTTATAAGGATATATGAATTTATATTACTTAATAATAGGTTGAACTGATTTTTAGTAAAAATATTTCATATTAAAACTCAAAAACAATTATTTCTAAAATTATATGCTCATTATATATAATAATGTGTTTGTTTTATAAACTTTTATTAAATAAAAAGATTTCAAAACGAAGACATATTTATTAAGTTTATTAAACAATAAAAAATCACCAAGTATATTTATATTTGTAATAGTTACATCCCCTATAATTTGTAAATATAATTACAATGATAGTATAACAAATAATGTATAATAAAAACAAGATAACATATAATATAACGATTGTTCTTTATAGCCTTAAATTGCAAAAAACTTAATAATAATAAATAATAATACATATTATTATAATACAAGATAAACAATGGAATCCCCTTTTTAAAAAACTTATCAGTTATCACCGATGAATAAGGTCGTAAGTATAGATAATACTTTTTTGTAATAGCTTATCGCCATCGAAGAAGGTCGTAACCAAAGATACTTCTGTTTTTCTAATGTAGATAGTATCTCAAAAAAACGCATGAAAGTCTATTTTTTTAATTGATACTTTGATATTTTTTAGTGCCTATTTTATAAACTCTATAACATGTATACAAATGTTCAAACTGATATATTAAAAAACAGAAAAACAATTTAAATTTGAATATTTGTTTAATTCATCCTGAAAAGTTGCAAAAAACAAGATATGATTATTTCATTGTGACAGTCGATAAAGATATTTAGAAATAATTTCAAGTCTTCATACATATTATTATGATTTAAAGTATTAAATTACAAAAAAATTGTGAAACAATTAAACCTTAAGCGTCAATTTAATTTTTATACACTATTAAAGTTAATAATTTTAATTAAATATTTTCTAGAAAAAAAGAAAAATTTAATTTAATCCTTAACTAAATGTACAATTTTTTTTCAATAATTACACGAGCCGTGTAAACTAGTTCACACACCAATTTGATTTACACAGAAATCAATTTATTGTATATATATTTGACTTCATTTACTTATAAAAGAAAGTACAACTTAATATTGTTTTAAATTTAATTATAATGATAAATAAAAGACAAAATGCTGTTATTACTATATTATAATTGATAAAAGTAAAAATATTTTACTGTTAAATAATTTTTGCTAACTTAAATTAAATGTAGGTAACTTGCTATCCTGACTCATAGGTACATCTTGCATACATGACAACATCTATTATGTGTTCATTACATGTAAACTTCTGACACGAAGAAAATTGTATTGTTGTCACCCTATTTTTTTGCTTATTTCGTTCACCAATTTAAAAATAATTTAATACGGAGTTTATTTTTGCTGTAACAAACATCGAATGACAATTAAAATAATGGATTAATATTTAATATATATATTAGATTAAGAAAATAACTGAAAATAAATATAAACCAAAATGGAATAAGACGAATAAAAATATTGGTGTACAGAGTACGCCAGCGTGTGTAGACATGTAGTTAAGGATTAATAATATCGATAATATTTGACTTCTGATTACATTTAATTTTATGGAAGTTTGACATCTTAGCCTTACTAACAAATACCACTTTAGGGTCGAGAGCATGAATAATAATAATAGTTTACTTTTCATTAGATTTCTACAGTTTTTATTTATGACAAAGTTTAATCTTCTTATTAAGTCATAGAAAGTATTTAATAATTTGATAGTTTCGCAATATTTAAACTATATAATTGCTTAGAAACTAACAAAGAGTAAATTGAGTTGTTCGATTGCAAAGAATATTCATGGTTTGTATTTTGTATTAAAGTTATCTTTTACTTTATATCTTTATCCTAGAGTTCAAAAAACCAATAAAACTCAAAATTAACTTTTTTTATTTCCAACAAATTATTGTCTTGAGGGAATAATTTATTACACCTGTTCATTTTTAAATTGTTATCGATTTGCCGCTTTAGGCGTTAGTGAAGAAAGTTGGCTACACTGTTTCCGCTTTTATATCGTGTGGGTGACGCGTGGACGTTCTGTGCCTCTGTGGCTCTGTCACTTGCTCGCATACCTACACTCCCACCCAATGCTAACCAATTACCGGATATTTGTGTTTTCCGGTGTCTCTTGAATAACTTGAAATTTGAATGCAGAGTCTTGTTCTCTATTTCTCTAATAATTCATTCACTTCACGTTATGACTCCTTGACTACACGTTGTATTTTGTGGTATGTTTACCGCTCACCTTTGCTTAATCTTCCCACGTTTCCATTCCCGAAGTTTTATCCATTTGCATCGGTGCTCAATAAGTCTCTTCATCAGTGTCATTTATGGATTCAGCTAGGGTGAGTACTTAAAAGCTTAATTACTATTAATGCTTTTCCAAAGGTATATTCGTATTATCCTCTGTGGTGATCGACAACAAGCCGGGATCTTTGGATCACTGATGCACTGTGAGAGGGACGTCGTCCGATTGCGGCCCAAAGTAAACTTTTTACCTTTTTGCCTATCCCGATTGCGGCCTGTCCATAGTAGGTAGGAAATACTATTTAAGACATTTAAGTGGTTTAATATTTGACTAGATACCTATTTATTGACAAATTAATTGTACTTTATATCTCTTTTTATTGTAAACAATTTATTTTTTTATATCCGTTGAGAAAGAATTATAGTATACTTGCCATGTGTTTAAATATTATTTTTATTTATAATTATTTTTTAATAATTTAGGTATATCGACGTACTTCATAATATTATGATAAAAGTTTGAATTTCAAACACAAATACGTCCAATACACATTTATACAGTATTTAAAATATTGACTTTATTTTATTAATTATAAGGTATTCTGTGAACCAATGCGCCTTTGGACGCAATCGGGATACTTATATTTGGGATAAAATACGATTACCTGTATTCGGGCTGCAATCGGGCAACTCTGTGTGAGAGAATTATCCAAGAAGACATCTTCCTACATTTGTCTGCTCCATCT